GCTGTAAATAAATGCAGTGAAAAAAGTCAGCAGCATCCCCTTACTTTTGGCTGAACACTTCTCAGAGCCATAGTCCTTGAAGAGTACTTTGTAAGAAAATAAAGGCAGAGATCCAGCCCATCATTGTCCTTGATACAAGGCTTCCAATACGATGGAGGTAAAGAAGCACCAGACAGAAATGCCACTTGGGTGTAGGGGGACAGAGTGACATTTATGCCTCTATCATAATGCCATGTGTGTTGTGTTGCAATGACCTGTTAACACATCTCTCTTCCCACATGCCTGTGGGCTGCCATGGGGCAGAGACCACACCCCAATTCATCTCTGTAGCCCCCTCACCTTGGCCTCATGCCAACATCAGCAGGAGCTCAGTATTTGTGGAATGAGTGAATGAACAAACAAATGAAAGGTGTATACACATGTAAATAGCAGGCACTATCATATGTTGATGTCCTGATGTATAAAATAGGACCAACAATAGTACCTTCATCAAGGGATTATTGTGATAATTAAATGGGCTAATGGTATAAAGAGTTTAGCGCTAGGCCTATACAGAGCACACACACAATGCAAACAGTGGGTCTGAGGAATATTAGCCATTAGCCTTACTGTTGTTCCGCATATCCTTTAAAACAGCCAGTCCCTAAGGATGTGTCCCCATTAAGCCATTTATTGCCTGTTTTACTATCATCTTCAATGGGGCTCGCAAGCAAAGCTATGAGTATGTTTTCAGCACGCGTTCTCTCCAGCTCTTCATCATCCTTACCTTTGCCACAACTGTCTATGCGTCCGCAGCCTCTATCCCGGGCCCTAAATGTCCTCATTAAGACCGCGTGCCTACATGAAAAGATGCTCAACGTCACTCCTCATCAGGGAAATACAAATCAAAACCACACTCAGATATCACCTCATGCCAGTCAGAGTGGCTAAAATGAACAAATCAGGAGATTATAGATGCTGGCGAGGATGTGGAGAAACAGGAACCCTCTTGCACTGTTGGTGGGAATGCAAACTGCTGCAGCCGCTCTGGAAAACAGTGTGGAGGTTCCTCAAAAGATTAAAAATACATCTACCCTATGACCCAGCAATAGCACTGCTAGGAATTTACCCAACGGATACAGGAATGCTGATGCATAGGGGCACTTGTACCCCAATGTTTATAGCAGCACTTTCAACAATAGCCAAACTATGGAAAGAGCCTAAATGTCCATCAACTGATGAATAGATAAAGAAATTGTGGTTTATATACACAATGGAGTACTACGTGGCAATGAGAAAGAATGAAATATGGCCTTTTGTAGCAACGTGGATGGAAGTGGAGAGTGTTATGCTAAGTGAAATAAGTCATACAGGGAAAAAACAGATACCATATGTTTTCACTCCTATGTGGATCCTGAGAAACTTAACAGAAGACCATGGCAGGGAGGGGAAGAAAAAAAAAAAAGGTTAGAGAGGGAGGAAGCCAAAACATAAGAGACTCTTAAAAACTGAGAACAAACTGAGGGTTGATGGGGGGTGGGAGGGAGGGGAGGGTGGGTGATGGGTATTGAGGAGGGCACCTTTTGGGATGAGCACTGGGTGTTGTATGGAAACCAATTTGACAATAAATTTCATATTTAAAAAAAAAAAGACCACATGCCTACACGTACACACGCTCATCAGCATTTATCCTCTAGGGTAATGCGCAAGGCTTCCAAGCTTTTCTAGGTCTCCCTCTCTCCAAAATCTATTCTCCAGTTTCCCATGTTGTCAAGACCAGTGCCTATCCCCTTCAGACTCAGTGACAGAAACAAGGCCTTCCCCGGGGACAGAGACAGCTCATTCCATGATGGATACTAGCTGTTCACACGCCATGTATTTGGATTTCAGCTGGGGTCTTCCATACAGTGTCTTAGTCCAAAGGAGTATGTGGGATGGTGGGGTGAAAATCTAATGGTGCTGGCCTTGTCACATATCAGATCACGAGGTGGCGCCCTCTTCTGCCTCATCTGAAGCGAACGCAGAATGTAGCCCACTCCCACATTTCCCCCTGAGTTGGGAAAAGAATCAGTGTAGTGGGGTGCCTGGCTGGCTCAGTCAGTAGAGCACGCGGCTCTTGATCTCAGGGTCATGAGTTTGAGCCCACGTTGGGTATGGAGATTACATCAATAAATAAACTTTTAAAAAAAGAAGAATCAGTGTACCTTGTACATATAATTAGCACTTACATCAAAGACAGCTGGGTAGATTAGTCGGTTGAGCATCCGGACTCTTGATTTCGGGGCTCAGATAACAATCTCATGGATTGAGGGCCAAGTCAGCCTCTGTGCTGACAGTGCAGAGACTGGGATTGCCTCTCTCTCTCTCTCTCTCTCTCTCCCTCTCCCCCCCCCCCCCCCCCCCCCCGCTCTCTCTTTGTCTCTCTCTCTCTCTAAAAATAAATAAATAAACTTTTTAGGGGCACCTGGGTAGCTCAGCCAGTTAAGCATCTGACTCTTGATTTCTGCTCAGGTCATAATCTCATGGTTTCGGGAGTTCAAGCCCCTCATCGGGCTCTGCACTGACAGTGCGGAGCCTCCTTGGGATTCTCTCTCCCTCTCTGCCCCTCGTGCTATCTCTGTCTCTCTCAAAATAAACAAATAAACTTTAAAAAATAGAGTACTTACACCTGGATACAGATAACCCTCTTTCTAAATGTAAACCTTTGCCTGGCTTAGCCCTGCACCAGGAGCCCAGCCATCTCCCCACCCTTGCCCACCACCACTACCATCCTTGGCTTGCTAAGCAGAAAACTAGGAGGCTCCCTATAACAATAGGCAAACCTCAAAGAATCAAAAAGGAGAAGTGCTACAAGGGGGAAGCTCAAGTGTAGCCCAAAATCAAAGGATTTCTATCCTGTGGCTTCTATGCCACTGCCCCTTGGCACTTTCGGCCACTCTCTGGGACTCAGTGTTTCCATCTGCAAAAGAGGAGCTTGGATTTGTGATTGCTAAGACACCCCCCACCCCCATTCAGATATTCTAGGAGTGTGTGCTCTTCATTCGCCAAATGGAATCAAAGTTGATCCAGAAGACCAGGCCCTTGGGAAGCTCACAGTTTAAACAGAGGAGATAGGACAGGAATATGAAAGTCACTGTACCACCAACTTAGTGGCAGGGTTAGGGAACATAGTTTGAAATAACAAAATGTCCTGTAAAGTATAATTGCATATATGAAAACATTTAAAGATACATATACAACAGAGAAAAAAATCTGAAGGTATGTGCACCAAATGTAATTTCTCTGCATTGCAGGGTTATGTGTGCTTTTACAATATTCTTTCTTTTTTTCTTTTTTCTTTTTGTATTTTCTCATTTTTCCACCAAGGGTATTATTAATCACCTTTAAAAAAACATATTTTGTACTCAAACAGACTTAGTTTGAATCCCAACTATACTGTGTAACATGCTGTGTAACCTGGGGCAAGTCATTTACCCTCTCCAAGTCTTAGCTGCCTTGCATTTAAAATGGAAATTGTTTTTAACTTAATATGCCGTAAAATGTTTTTGGACCTCAAATTCGAGGGATGAGTTAATCATGTTTCTCCATCATAGCACCTCATTGTAAGGCCTCTCTTATTTCATTGATTTATTTCCTTTTATTCCCATTTCCCTCTGCCTACCCCCTTAGGCAACCATTTTGTGTTTGACATTTTTTGAAAGTGTTTTTGCAAAATGTGTGTGGTGGTTTGGTGTGTTACTTAAATAGTATTATGCTGTAAATCTCAATTCTGTTTCCTACTTTGTTCCTAAAGAGCGATGTTTTTAAGCCTTTGCACATTGCTATATGGACATGCCATTTTTAGGGCCTTATCTACCTGCTGCATAATCTCTGTGCTGGGCTTCTACCCCAGGCTACCTTTCCATAATTCTCAGTGAGGAACACCTATGTTCTCTCCAGCTGTCTATCACCATAAGCAACACTGCTCTCAGCATTCTTATAGGTGTCCCCTTGTGGACCTGTGTGAAAAGTCTTTGAGATCTATACCTTGCAGCAGAACTGCCAGGTTAAGAGGTATGTGTATATACTTGATGAGACCAAGTGGTGCCAGAATCTTCTCCAGTATAGCTTCACAGCCTGTGCTCCCCACCAGCCAGGCAGAAGGCTCCCCATGTCCCCACACCCCTGCCCACACTTGGCACTCTCTAGTTCCCTGATTTTTGCCACCCTAACAGATACCTTATATCTCTTTGTGGTTTTCATTACTATTCATCCTACTCCCTAATATTTTGAGTACCCTGGCATACGTTAGCCCTCAGGTTTCCCCGCTTTGTAAATTGCCTGTTCACTTGCTTAGCCCACATTTCTACTGGGAATGCTCTTTTTCCTGTTGGTTTGCAGGAGTTCCTTATATATTCTAAATACCGAGATGGCTTGACTGTCTTAGACATTATAAATACCTTCTCCCACCCTTGCCTTGCAGTTCATCTTTCTGAAGTGTTAAGTCATTTTCCTTTCAGCCCTAGATCAAAAAGATCGTTCCTTTACTTTGTCTTTTGAAGTTTTACCTTTCACATTTAGGTCTTTAACACCTCTCGTATTTGCCATGGAAATCAATCGGCGTCAGCTTCAATGCTTCTTGTAGGGCAAAACAATATAGTTAAAGCGCCGAGCACAATACCCCAAGAGCTGTGCAGTTGCGTGTGGTGATTATTATCCCTGGAATACAAAGTGGTAAGCGCTGCCCTGGGATATCTAGAGAAATGGGAGGTTGGGTGCTCGTCAGCTAAACCAGGAAAGATTTTAGGGAGTTTCGGTGCTGGTTAGCTCAACCAACCCCCAAAAAGAATGTCGGATTCGCTCACTTGGAGAAGGGAGAGGCGAGCGCTCCAGGTAGCGAAAGGTGGCCTGGGCAAAGCCCTGGCAGCGGGAGCGCTTCCCGGGCGCCGCGTTTAGGCGGAGCCCTCGGAGGAGAGGACCTGACTACTCACAAACTGCTGTCTGTCTTTCTGCCCGTGCCCACCCCACCCCTTCCCCTGCAGGCTCCCTGTTCTCCACCCTGAAGCCCCCCGACGCCGTGTTCAAGGTGGTGTTCTGGCTGGGCTACTTCAACAGCTGCCTCAACCCCATCATCTACCCGTGCTCCAGCAAGGAGTTCAAGCGCGCCTTCGTGCGCATCCTCGGGTGCCAGTGCCGCGGCCGCCGCCGCCGCCGCCGCCGCCGTCGCCTGGGCGGCTGCGCCTACACCTACCGGCCGTGGACGCGCGGCGGCTCGCTGGAGCGCTCGCAGTCGCGCAAGGACTCGCTGGACGACAGCGGCAGCTGCCTGAGCGGCAGCCAGCGGACCCTGCC